TCCCTCTCTGTCCCCCTCTCTCTCCTCCTCTCTCTATCCCTCTCTCCTCTTCTCTCTCCCCCTTTCTCCCACTCTCTCTGAAAATCAATGGAAAAAATATCCTTGGGTGAGGATTAAAATAAAAAGCGAATATCTAAATGCAAGCTTAGTTTAATCAGCGTGTGGCCCCACCATACTGCTTCTATGGAGACTTGGTATGTAGCTGGTTAAGTTTCGGGTATTAACATCCAGACTGATGTCCCACTGCCCAGTAAGCTATTTTGGTCCCAAATAGGTTCAATGAGGGTTTTGTGTCCTATATGATCACCTACAGTACATTGCTTTGCTGACTCGTCTCCCTCTCTCTCTCTCTTTATAGGACCGCAGCTGAACGCACAGCTAGAAGGTTGGCTTTCACAAGTACAGTCTACAAAAAGACCTGCTAGAGCCATAATTGCACCGTAAGTTTTAAGGGTTCTTACCCAGAATATTTCACATGTTAATTGTTAATAAAGAATGAGTATCTACAGGTTGAGCTATAAACCAAAACCCAAAAGATATGTTGAGCTGACGAAATTATACTCAATAAATTTCATGACTCCCGTGGCTTTCACTTTAACTCAAGGATAAAGGAAATTGGCTACTTAATTTTCTCAGATGCAGTAATTTCAAATTTTATTTTTGGTAATAAAACTGACTTTTAAAACAGAGGGCTTTTTACATTAGTTAGACTTGATTTTGGTGAATAATTGATGTAAATGAGTAAGCTCTATTTTAAACATGAAAAAGATATACTTTAATCCAGATAATTTTTAACTTTGAAAAATATGCTTTAACCATAATACGGTGCAATATGGAATAGCAACCAGAGTTTTGCCAGAGGGGTAGATTTTCTTTTGTAATGAAAATCTGTGACTGTTTTGTCTTTGTTAGAGGGTTTTTTAGAACCAAGAGAGAGCAAATGTACAGTTTATGATGTGTTTGTATGATATGAATTCAGTTAATTTTGATTTGGTTTCCAGTGCTAATATTAAAAACACATTGTTTTTTAAGCACATGTTAACATTTTTCTGAGAAGAGTAAAAGTTGGAGTTTGTGGAGTTTCTTCTCACAGCAGCAGCTTTTATGACTTCTGTTGAGTTAAGGTTGGTACCCTGATAAATAAAAAATAGTGAAAATAATAATAGCAATCACTTATTAAACAATATGAGAATTAAATGATTAAATACACATCAAGAGCCTACATTGTTTGGCACGTGATAAGTGTTCCATAAATGTTAAGCATTTTATGTACCAAACATTTTGTTAAGTACTTGATTTGTATGTTCTAACTTGATCTCATTTAATGGATACAGGGAAGCTTTGTGACATACAAGTTATTTAATCTCTTGTGCCTTTGTCTCATTAGTATAATTGGAATAATAGTACCTCCATGTTGTTTTTTTGATGATTAAATGAGCTAATCTTTATTGAACTTTTAGCATAATGACTTGCAGTGACTTATTTAGTCATTCAGCAAGTATGTACCAGGCTAAATGCCAGGTACTCTTCTTTGTGATGTTTTTTGAATAAATCAGAATCTGTTCTCTCATAGTGCTTGCCTTTTAGTATGTGGCGAAGATAGACGGTAAACACTTCAATGATTATATTCAGTGTCAGGTGCTAATGGGTACTAAGAAGAAAAATAAAGCAAAAAAGAGGGTTGAGTGACAATCTGGGTAGGGAATTGCTACTTTTATGGTAATAAGAATAGGTCTCCTAGATAAGGTAATGTTTGAGCCTAAATGGTGCAGCTGCCCAGGGAAAGGGTTTCAGGATGGAGAGCAGCAAGGACAGAGGCTCTGGGGCAGGACCTGCTTAGTGTGTTTGAGGAAAAGCAAGGAGGCCAGTGCAGCTGGAGTGGTGCGTGTTAGTGAAAGAGCAGTGGATGAGACAGGCAGCAGGGGCTAGGTCATGGAGAGCTTTGTAGGCTATCATAAAAACTTTGGTTTTTATTCCAAGTGAAATGGCACGTCATGAGAAGTTTTCAGCAGAAAAGTAACATGACCTGACTTAGGTTGGAAAAGGATTACTCTTGCCGGCTGTATGGATGTTCTGTTCTGTGGGAACAGGGAGTCCAGTTTGGGAGGCTTATGAGAATAGTACAGAAAAGAGGTGACACAGTGGCTTTGACTAAGGGCTAGTGGTGGAGGTGATGAAAAGCAGTATATTCTGGATATGTTTTGAAGGTTAGAACCAATAAAATAGAAGAAGAGTTAAGGGTAACTTAAGCGTTGGCCTGTGAAACTGGAAGAATTGCTTCTCTACTGATAAGGAGCAACTAGGTGGAGGTGGGAGTGGAAGTGTTTATGTAGAATCGAGGATTTGACTTTGACCATGTTAATGCTGAGATGCCTGTCAGCTATCCCGGTGGAGCTTTCACATGGGCAGCCAGATACATGAATCTCTACTACAGGGAAGAAGGACCAGGTTGTTTTGGTGTATATATCACAGGCTGTGAATTGCCTGGGGAGGAAAGTAAAGGTAGAGAAGAGAAGAGGTTCAGGACTGAGCCCCTTAGCAAGCCAACTTTATTTAGGGGGCAGAATGAAGAGCATTTGCAAAGGAGACCCGGGAGCAAGGAGGAAAACCAAGGGTAAGCGTGATTCCGGGAGGCAAAGGATGAAAACGTGTCGGGGAGGAGAAAGGGGTCAGCTGTGCGGATTTCTGCCACTTGGTCAAGTGAGAGGAGGACTCGGAATTGCCGTTAGTTTGCAGTGTGGACATGGCCGGTTACCTTGGTAAGAACAATTTTTTTGGGGTGGTGGGGATGAAAGCATGGTTGGTGTGGTGTGGGTTCAAGAAAAAGTCAGAGTGAAATGAAGATTGTGAGTATAGATAGTTTTTTTGAGGAATTTTGCTGTACATTAAGGAAATAGGGCAGTGGAAATATGGTGTTGGGAGAATTTTTATTCAAGATGGAAGATACTGAAGTGAGATCTTTGTGTGAGAAACAATGGCTCTCTTTGTGGTAACGCGTGAGCCAGGTTCTGTTGTCTTGTCCCTTACTTCGCTGGTATGGGACTGTTGTGGTACGCTGCCTTCCTAGTTAAAACTTGTTCCAAACGTGGGCGCTGAGCTGAGTCAACGTGTAATTAACTTGAGGGTAGTTATTCATGAAGAAGTACCTAGACTTGTTTTCTTTTTGTAGTTAGTTTAAAATTGAAATCATTGGCAGTGGCCCGGGAAATGAAATGTTTGAGCCTAAGTTATAAATGTATTGATTTAGAAAAGATTTCCAAGTTACCTTAAGTTTTAAAAAGAAAGTTTGAAAATAGTTTTGGCTTTGGTTTGCATGTTTTTGCTATATAGTGACTTTGTAACGGTAGTGCACATATAGGCAAATCCATTTTGTTAACATACGAAAACTAAGTAGTCATTTATCTTATGTAGTTTCCAGAAGTAATTATTTTCCTTTGCAGAGTTACTTTTTGTTTTTGAGGTAGAAAAGTAACAACAGATATTTTATTGTTACATAGGCACAAAGGTTTTTGGGTAAGAATACGCTTATATAGTACTTAGAAAACTTAAAATTTTAAGATTTCTGCTTTTATTGTAAATCAAGTCTATCAAAAACATACTTTAAATTTTTATAAATTCTAGCTCTCTGGAACCAACTTTTCTTAGATTTTGCTTTATAGGCATAAATCATATAAGGAGAACCTTAAGAAAACAAACTCAGAACGCAGCGCACTTTTTAAAGTGCTTAAACAGATTGCTCATTTTTATATTGATGTAGATTAAATAAAATGTCATTAAAGAATAAATATTGACCCATAAGCCAACTGTTGATCAATCTTAATAGATTCTAACCTATATGACATATAGGCAGGCACATTTGGGGGATTCAAAATAATTTAATTTGATTAAAAAATATCCTTTGCTTAAATTTAAAACTACCTTACTTATCTCGAGGCACAGGAGACAGTATGTGTCTCAGGGATATATATATTGAAATGATCTCATGAACTAGGAGTTCCAAAAGCCTTTCTACTGTGACTGCCAAAATTGTTGTTTGTCTTGCAGTATGCAGGGATATCTCAGCAACCCTTAGAATGGAGCTTGCAGGTATGCATCACTTAAGAAACCTCTTACTGAATATGAAAATATAATCATAATTGGGGAAGGGGCTTATTTAATTATATTTTTACTATATAGCAGATACTATGCCTTATTGAAGCCTCCCCTCATACATTTAAAATAAAGTTTAACTTGTTAGTAGTTAACCTAGTAGGAGTAGTATGGAATAAAGGATACTTTCACTTTTCATTGTTTACCCTTCTTTATTTGACTTTTTTTTACTGTGTTCCTGTATTACTTTTAATGTAAAAGCTAGTTAAAGAAAGTTAAAAGGTTAGAAACATTTATATAGAACACCAGGTTGTGTTTAGTGAAGCATACCTGTAGAGCTCTCCCAGTGTACATCATGAGACAATGAATTTCCACAAATGATGTAGTTAGTTTAAGGTACTGGAGGTAGTCACCTTGTTTATTTCTCACCCTTGTTTACATTAAGCAATAGGTATTCGTGCCAGCATCTGAAGTCGTATCTATTTTGGCAGTGAAAATATCTAGATATGCAATATTGTGGTTAGTTTATTCCTGTTCGACTTGGATAACTTCAATAACTTTCTTTAGCTCATAGTATTGTTTACTTAATGTTTGTGAGATTCCATTTTGTAAAAATAAAATATTCTGGATAATGACTGTCTAACTGGACATTTTGGGGGGATATCATCATCTGTTCATATTGTTTATTGAAGCAAGAATCTTGAGGGCCGTTGAGCAGTGCCTATGAAAGAAAATAATAAAAGGCTGGGCACAGCAAAGTAAAATTGAGAGAGGCAATGTGGAGGCTGCTGCTTCTGCAGATTGTTTAGGGCCAGTGTCATCAGGTTGATTCCATATGTTCACAGGTGTTTTTACATTTATTTTGTAGCTTGCCAGGTCATACTTTAGCTTAAGTAGATCTTAGAGACTTTTCTTATTAATAGAGTTCTTAGTTCCTCTGGTCTAGTCTTCTCATTTCATCTAGTCCAGTCTTCTTATTTTGCATTTTTTCTGCTATTAAGTCGAACTAGGAGTATGAGAGCCTGATTTTGTTGAATCCAGGTAAGGCTTCTTTTATTATTCCCTATATTTTCTTTGATGAAAAGCTTCTCATAGAATGTGAGGTAAACTCTTGGCATTCACAGTTTACACTATTCACCTATAACCTTGGCTTGGCATTCTGAGACTGAACAAATGAAAGTTCATGTCATGTAGTAACTGGTAATTTTCCTGACATAGGTATTTAAATCACAGCACACTGCAAGGTTGCTGTGTGGGAAACTGTCACTTAACCTGTGAGTGATCATGGACAGTGACCTTGTACCCTCCTTTGACTGCAGCTCTGGGGGGG